CCTGGAGGACCTCTCGGAGGCCTCTTGAGCCATCTTGAGGCCATCATGTGTCGTCTTGTGTGCATCTCGGGATCGTGTTGGGGTCTCTTGGGACAATCTTGGCCATCTTGGAGGCATCTTGGAGACCATCTGGAGACATCTTGGCCGTCGGAGAGGCCACCTTGAGCCGTCTCGGAGATCTGTTCGTGGACGTTGAGGTTGTTTGCGGTCCTTTCGGGTGGCCGGCGCCCTGGGCCGAAGCCCCACAGTGAGTTCTTTTGTAAAAGGACCAGTCCCAAGCCGGCGGCGGATCTAGTGGCCTTCAGCCCATCCCGCTACCGTGCCTGGGTTGTGGGTCAATCGGGCCGGACGAAAGGGGGGGATTGGGAAAGGGGGGGTTACGAAATTTGCTGCATGCAGCTGGTTTCGGCCTCACCGAGGGGCCCGTTCCTCGATACATAGTCGCCTCCGGCGCCGGGAGGCGCCGGGAAAATCAGCTACGTGAGCTGATTCTCAAGCCCCCCCTTTGCTATCCCCCCCTTTCGCCCGACCCGAGTCAAAGTTCTCAGGGATGCTTCTTCGGGTCTCTTCGGGGCGCTCTCGGGGGCCTCTTGGCAGCAGTTTTTGGGGCCTCGTGGGGGCCTCTTGGAGGATTCTTGGAAGCCTTTTGGGGCCTCTTCGGAGCCTCTTAGGGCCTCTTGAGGGCCCCTTGGGGCCTCCTGGAGGGCTTTCGGGGCCGAGGGCTCGAACTGTCCGTGCGGGTTCCCCATCTGGGCCCCGTCTTGGGCCCGTCTTTGGGCCCTCGTGGGCCGTCTTGGACGCCTTTTGTGCTGCCTTGGGGCCCTCTTGGGTCGTCTTGGGGCCCTCTTGGGGGCCTCCAGGGCCGTCTTGGGGCGGTCTTGGGGGCCTCGTGGGCCGTTTTGGAGCGTCGGAAAGCCGAAACAGCGAGAAGGCCAAACATATTCAAAACCTAAGGGAAATCAATGAGCATTACCTCTTGGGGCTTTCTTGGGACGTCTCTTGGAACACTCTTGGGACGTCGAGCCTCTTGGGCAGTGTTGAGGCGATCTTGGGCGCATTTGGGCACTCTTGGGCCTTCTCGGAGGCATCTTCGGCCCTCTTGGGCGCTTTTTGGGCCCATGTTTGTTCGGGCTGCGCTTCCGGAGGACGCGCGCGACACGCCCGGGGAATCCCTGGGAATGCAGAGAAATCCCCTGAACCCCCAGAAATCCTTGGAAATACTTATGAACCTGGTGGCCCTGGCCCTTAATTGTTTTTTAGACCCTACCACTCTGACCCGCTCAGGGTTGCATGAGCCTTGGGGCACTCCACTACGTGCTGCAGGCACGGTGGCGGATATCTATGCAGATATCGATGTGTGTGCATATGCATGCATGCGTACACGAATGTATGTATGCATGCATGTATGTATGTATGCATGCATGTATGTATATTTTATATATACATATGTATATGTACGTTTGTATGTGCGTATGTATATTTGTATGTATGTGTATGTGTATGTGTATGTGTCTGTGTCTGTGTCTGTGCCTGTGTCTGTGTCTGTGTCTGTGTCTGTGTCTGTGTCTGTGCATGTGTATGTGTATGTGTATGTGTACGTGTATGTGTATGCATGTATGTCGTATGTGTTTCGGCATGCATGTATGTATGTATCAATGTATACATGCATGTATGTGTGCGTGTATGTATGTATGCATGATTGCACGTGTGCACGCACGCATGCATGCACGTGTGCATGCATGTATGTATGTAGGCATGCATGTATGTATGGATGTATGTATGTATGCAGGTATGTATGTGTGTATGTTTGTATGTCTGTATGTATGTATGCATGCATGCGTGTATACAAGACGGCATGAATGCACGTGTACGTGTATGTATGTATGGTTGTAGGAATGTATGTATGTATGTTTGTGCATGTCTGTGTGGGTGTGCATGCATGCATGTATGCATGCATGTATACATGTATGCCTGCCTGTCTGTCTGTATGTATGTATGTATGTATGTATTTGTTTATGCATGCGTGTATGGATGCATGCAGGTACGTACGTACGTATGTATGCGTGTGCATGTTTGTGTGTATGCATGCATGCATGTATTCATGTCTGAATGTGTGTATGTATGTTTGCATGTGCGCATGCACATGCATGCATGCATTCGTGTGTGTATATATATATATACATGTGTATGTTTACATGCATGCATGCATGCATGTGTTAATGCATGTATGTATGTATGTATGTATGTATGTATGTATGTGTGTGTGTGTGTGTCTGCTTGTATGTAGTTGTGCGAGGGTCTGTATGTATGTGCTTATGGATGCATTCATGCATGCATGTATTTATGTATGTGTGAATGCATGAATGTATGTATACATATGTGTATGTACGTACGCACGTACGTACCGGCGTATGTATGTATGTATGTATGCACGCATGCATGCATGCATGCATGCATTTATGTATGTATGTATGTGTTTATGCATTTGTGTATGTAGGTA